GTGCTACTGGCCCTTTCACCTCTGTCAGGTTCCCCCAGAGGCCCTTAAGATTAAAACTAGTCTACACATCATCAGCCTCTTCTGAAAAGACTTGCTAGAATGGTGCCCTGGGAAAGCACACCAGGAGAGGATCAGGGTCACGGCCTTGTCCTCCACTTTTAAGTCCGGGTGATGACATCCTGTGTGGTTTTGAGGCAGCCAGGGAGCCGCTGTCTGAATCAAAGTGAGGTAATTGTGACTAAAGAAAAAGAAGTTTTCATAGCAGGCAATTGCAGGACTCTGGGGCGGGGGGGGGGGTTGTCATGGTAACCCATGTTTGCATTGATGGCTCTGGATGGTGATACTGCGTTTGACTCTTCCCTGCTCTCCATGGGTGTGTGTCTTCCAGTAGTACACGGGGATTTGGGATTTGGAGGGACAGTACAATTTGCTATGCAATGAGAAGAATAGAAGATGGGAGACCGAGTGGAGGGAAAAGTTCAGCTCCTTCTCTTCCCCATCAGTGTTGAGGATGCTCACGAGGGGAGCAGGGGCTGATGGACAGGGAAGATGGCGGAGAGCGGAGCAGGCTCTCTGATGGGGTTCAGAGATACCGGCTGGACACAGAAAGCATTTGGAGCTGGGGGAGGTGGGACTGGCAAGTCACAGGGTTAGGGATTACAGAGGAGAACTCCAGGAGGGATCCGAGGCTAGGGATGAGGGCGTGGCTCCGAAGTGGCCATGTTGGACAGGCACACTCCCTTCAAGGGAGTCTTTTGAGAGTCCAGAGATGGGCTTTGGTGTGACCGACATGGACACTGGCTGACAGTGGGTGCAATAGGAGCGGGCAGCCATGGCCATACGTTCTTCACCTGTAGATAGAGCACCTGCCGTGTCCCGGGCCCGGGCAGGTCTTAGGTGGCCTGCCTGTGGTGCGTGCTTTCTCCTTAGCACTGACACATCCCACGCTTACCTTCCTGCTCCCTGCAGTCTCGTTCCTACAGCAGACTCCTCCCTGTGTGTCCCCGAACTCTTGCTGGTGACCGAAAGGTCGCAGCCGCTCTGCAAGTCCTCTCTGTGTGAAGTGTCCCCAGAAAGAAACACGCTGGAGTCATGTCCTTGTGGAATTAGCCATGTTTCTTCCTGTTCCCCGGGGCCGTTCCAGGGGCGGGAATGAGCTGTGTCTGTGGGAATCTCCCCCTGGACACATGGCAGATGCAGTCTCATGTAATCCGAGGACAGCCCTGAGGGGTGGGACGCCACTGAGTGGTAGTCCTGAGAGAGGCAGACAGACCCCAGGGCATGCCCTGTGGCCCCAGCTGGTGGCCAGAGAGGAGCTTGGAGTGGAGGGTAGGTGGGAGCTGCTGGCCAGCTCCTGAGTTTGTCCCTGCATTGACCGAGAGCCGAGTGAGACCACCAGCAGGTGGCGCCACAGTCTCCAATGGAGTCACTAGCATCTGCCCCAGGTGTCCTCCAGGGTCCCCCCCCCCCCCCCCTCCTTCTTTCCAAAACCTTCATTTATAAGCTTCCTGCCCGGGCAAGACTCCTGCCCACGTTTGAAGCGAATGCTCATCCCGTTTCTCTGCTTGCAGAAGGCAAACCCAGTATCTCTCTCTCATAGTGAGAGATACTGTTCTTTGAGGAAGCCACTCTACGTCCATGTGCGGACCTTCTGCATGAACGCACTTGTGTTGCTCCTGCCCCTGCAAGCAGCCCCTCTCTGCCATGCCTTCTGTGTGTGTGGCAGATATGAAACCAGTCAAGGTCTAAGCCGGTCGACACAACTCTGCAGCGGGGTCTCTTTCACGGCTACCCATGCCTGCCCCTCTGCTGCGGGGTGGTCTAGCCTCCCGCCGGCTGCCCCCGCCCTGTCCCCTGTGGGCTGTGGGATGATCTCGTGTCCTCCTAAGCATCCGAGGAGGTGGGCCTCATCACCCCCAGGAGTTCAGTCCCTTCATCTGTCAGACCATGCCAAGCATGGTATTCAGCCCCAGGTCCTGTTGACAAAGCCTGGTCCCATCTCCCTCAAGAAGTGGCCTGTGACAGCCCTTTCCTCCTCATCGTCATCCCCGATGATCCGCCTCTCTGCAGGTGCCGAGCTGGAGGGGACGCCGGCCAGGCCACACCAATACGTGTAAAGCTGAAACTTAGCAGCTGCCACAGAGAAGAGTTTGGACTCTGGGGGTCCCTAACAGCAGGACTTGGATGTGTGGGGGACCCACTTCCTTCCCCAAGGAAGAGGGTCCCACCCTCAGTAGGAAAGAGGAGTCAGAATCCATCAGAGTCCCGGGAGAGTGGGAGGGTAGAGGCCTGAGCCCCAGGACTCACCCTTGGGGAGGTGAAGACCCTGCAGGCCCGTCCACTGATGGGAGGAGCCTGTGCTAAGCTGAGGGTGGGAGGAGGGGTGTGTGCACCGGAAGGAGTGTGTCCAGGGGGAGATTCCCACAGACACAGCCCAGTGACCTGTTCTCCATGCTTTCCACCCACAGGGAGAACAAGGGCCCAAAGGAGAGAAGGGCGATCCTGGTGTGCCCGGGGAAGCGGTGAGTGCCAGTGCCCGCATGTGCTCCCCCCCCGAGAGTAACCCCCGGGTGCCTGGGAGCCAGCCAGCTCCAGCCAGGAGCCCAGCGGGACCTGGTGCACATCCTGGCTCAGATTGTACCCATTGTGCATGCCCACACCACAGCCCGTGTGCTGGGAACTAGGGTGATGAGCTGCTTGACGGACAGACTGTCTCATTTCAGGGACCACAGGGCCGTCCTGGAGACCCGGGGCCTTGGGGACCCATTGGACCTCCGGTAAGAAAGCTCACTTTCCACATTTTTTTGGGGGGGGAGGGGGGTGTTTCGCTGGGGCTTGAACTCTAGGCCTGGACGCTGTCCCTGAGCTCTTGTCAAAGCTAGCGCTCTACCACTTGAACCACAGCGCCACTTCCGGCCTTTTCTGTTTATGTGGTGCTGAGGAATCGAACCCAGGGCCTCATGCAAGCAAGGCAAGTGCTCTACCACTGAGCCACCTTCCCAGCCCCTTTCCAGGCGTTTGAAATCCCTATGTGCTCTTTGCCTTCATCCTTACCCTCGCCTGGCATTTCTCTAGTTACCACCAGAGGGTGCTGTGGTCTGGTGCTAGGTCCTCACACATCCCAGTTCCTCCATAACTCAGCCAGGCTCTGTCCTCCTTACGCACTCTGTCTTGTCATCGCTGGGCGGAGCTGGCCTGAGTCCCACGTGTGTCACAGGAGACATGTCCTCACAATCAGAAAATCACTTCCCCTCCTCTCAGTCAGCAGCCTCGGCGTAGAGGATGCCTGGCGTATGGTGGCATTTTGACTGCATTTTCTTCCCTCCCCGTGTGCGCTGCCGCTCTGGATGGTTCCTAGCGATTTTTCGGATTGTCTGGAGGAATCCAGACAGCACAGAGGGCCTGGTGGACTGGCCTGCCCAGCCGAGATCCCGGGAGCTTCTGTCTGGCCGTGCTACTACCCTCTGTGCCGCGGTGGGAGTCTGGTGGCACTGGGGGCCGTGGTGAGGGTGAGGACGAGGCCCCATGGCAGGTGCCATTCCACACGCGCGAGAGCCGCTCCCGGGGCTTCTGTGTGGATCATCTGATTTTTGACATGTTGGGGCTTGCTGACACTTTCTTGCCTTGAGGATGAAGGACTCTGACCTCTGACCTTTCTTTCTGTCTCCTGCACAGGGCGCCAAGGGACAAGATGGCTCCCACGGGGCCCCTGGAGCAGCTGGAAGTCCTGTAAGTCCTGTGTCCTGTGTGCCACCTGCTTCCCGTGGACAGAGAGGAGACCAGGACGGGGACCAGGCCTGAGCAGGGAGCACAAGGGGACACGCTTTGGTCTTCAGTCCAACAGAGAAATGTCTTTCCTTACGCGTGTGCACACATGCGTGTCCACAGCACTGTTCCTTCTCCAAGCCCAGGATATCACTCTCCACAGATTTATGAGAAATTCCTGTCCAACCCACAGTCTGCCTTGGCCCGGCCCTATTCTCTCTCTCTTGAGTGTCTTTGGACTGATCTGTCTCAAGGACCTTTTCTATCCAGGTCGGCTCTGAGCAGCTTGCTCTGTCTTCAGTGTTCCTTTCCTCCTTTCAGTTAGAATTCGGGCGGAGAGCAGGGCATTCACACGCCTGCAATCCTCACGTGCTGTTGGGGTTGTGCTCCGGGCCCAGCCTCGCGTCCTGGCTTCCTCACCCTTCTATCCTGTGCTTGGGCAGTGCCCTTCTGCTCCCTGTTTTTCTCTTCTGTGCCGGAAGCCCACGCATGAGGCCTGGCTCCTCTGGGGAGGGGATATCCGGTGGGAGGCTGTGCTAGCAAGTCCCAATGAGCTGCAGGAGGGACGGGCACAGAGCGTGGCTAGGGTCAGCTGTTTCTAATCAAGACTTCTGGCCTTTCTCATGTGCTGTGTCTCTGGCTAGGGTGCTCCTGGGCCTGCAGGACCCCCCGGTGTCAGTGGCCCCCCAGGAAGCGCGGTGAGTAACGGCCCTGGGCCCTTGGTATCTTCTATTGAGTTTCTGTCTCTCTCTCAGTGTCCTGGGCTCACAGGGAGGGAGTGGGATTGGTGGCCCGTGTCACCAGTGATCCTGCTAGGGTTGCTTCAACCCTCTGGGTGGTAAATGGAAGTGTTGGGGTTGGAGAAGTCTGTGCCTTTTGCTGGTGTTAGAAGAAACGTGGAGACGTTTAGACAACCAAAATGAAGTTAAAGAGTTTGGTCACAGGCTGCCTGCTGCCTGTTCCCCATGGGCATTCAGACCCAGCTCTCCCTGGACGGGCAGTGAGACACGGGCCGGGCTCCCGGAGGCCTCTGCCCTCCCCTGCAGGGTGCACAGGCGGTGCTGAGTCACCTTTTGGGCCCTGCCTCCTCTGGTGTGCGGAGGTCCGACCTCTCCAGCTCAGATGCAGAGGCCCAGAGCGTCTCTGATGACCCAGCTTCACGGTTCACCATCAACATTGATTTAGACTCGAATGTTCTTTAATAAAACACACTGACATCTCGCCAGGGGCCGAGGCAGTTTATTCTCCACTGTAGTGTGAGGTGAGTCCTACACATTCATCAAACGTCTCCAAGTAATAATCATCTGCCTTTAGAGGACAAATGCTGGTCCCGCAGACGTTCTCGGGCATTGCTGGTGTGATGGCCCTCAGGGATAGGGAGTGACTCTCCTGACCCCAGGCCGCACAGGCAGCAAGTGCGTACGGAACTGGCTGTCTTGCCCGCTCCACCCTTCCTGTCCCTCAGTGTCTGCATCAACTTCTTTCGCATGAGCCTTTTGTCTGGCCTTGTGCAGGTGGCTAGTGGCCCCACCCAAGAGTGGCCCTGGGTGGACAGCACAGAGCCAGGCTCTTCCACCTTTAGGTAGGCTCAGGGGGTCCCCAGTCCCCCATAGGACTGATTCCAGTTGTTCATGCTGTGTTTCCAGCTGACTGTGTGAATAACCTTCCTTTCTTTAGGGCACTCCGGGAATCAGAGGCCCGCCGGGGAAAGATGGCGAGCGGGGTGAGAAGGTGAGCACCATGCATGCCCTCGGCCCAGAGGCCTCGCTGGGAGTAGAGCACCCCCTGCCACTCGGGGCCTGGGTTAGGACCCACAAATCAGAATGAGTAGGAGGCAGAGAAGGCCCTGTGGCTCCCCACCCTCTCCTCTAACCTCCCGCCCCTTGATAGCTGTGGAGATGGACGCTCAGGGCGAATTGATTTGCTCATGTCTCCCAGCCCGAGAGCTGCCCAGCCAGGTGTGTGTGACCACATGCCCCGCCTGCTCTGGCGCCGTGGCCCGGCTCTCCATTGTGCACCGGTGATGGGGGGTTGGGGGGAACACCACCTTTACCACGCCCACTGAAACCCCACCGCACGCGTCTGTCAGCCTGTGCTCTTGAGAACGTCTTCTTGGTGATACGGAGCCAGAGCCGTGGAAACCCAGAGTGCTCATTGGAATGCACAGAGGGAGTCGCGTGGGATTCAAACCCAGGACGCACGCCAGCTTCCAAGCCTTGGTTCTGCAGTTCTACACTAGGGGAGGGGAGGGAGGAGATGGGGGTCTGTTCCTGGGGCAGCCTGCCTCCTTCTGACATGGCTAGTTGTCACTGCTGGAGGAAAAATGGATACTGGCACAGAGTAGGTAAAGACCAGGGATTCTACTGGAAAGAATCAACCGGTCTGAAAGACCCTGGCTCCGGGACTGAAGGCTCACGAGGATGCTCAGAGCTACCCGGAACCCAAAGTGGTGAAGCCAAGCTGAGAGAGGGGAGCAGGTGCTCAGGGTAGGCTGGGGTGGAGCGAGGCCGTGGGGGCCGGCAGAGGACAGAGGCTCGGGGCTGGTGGCACACACATGCACACCCTCTCTCCTGACAGAGCGTCTGCAGATGCCTCTCCCAGCATCGTTATCCAAACTCTCCATCCAGGTTCCTCGCAGTCTGCGTTTGCTGACACTTTTCCAGGGATGGATCACTTTCTCGTATCTATATAAAATTTAACAAGAATAGATGCAGAGTTTGCATTTTGGCTCCATTTAAAAAATATATATCTTTCCAATTTATTTTAGAAAGAACAAAGATGAGCCAGTCTGTAGGAAATATCTTGGGGCGGGGGGGGGTAGTGGAGGCTGTTAGCTGATCACAGGCTCAATAACAATCCTTATAGGCAATGTGCACACAAAAGTTTTAGAAGGATACCATCTCAGACTGCAGTAATGAGTGGGGACACGCAGAGGAACGGTGGCCCTCCCTGCTCTTCCCTGACAGTGCCAAGGGTGGGGGACCCTATGTCACACATGAGCTGGTGAGCCTAGAAGGGGTGACCGAGATGTCAAGGTTAAATTCCAATCACTAAGATGTTTAAAGGTTTGAGCATTCCAAACCCAGAAGTCCAGTGGGCTGTTGGCCCATTCAGCCACTAGGGGGAGCCACACCCCTTCTAGTTCTCCGCAGCGGGCCCAGGGAACTTCTGGGGCTCTCTACAATGTTCTTTCTCCCAAGCCCAGTGGTGGCCTCTGGGAAGGCTGCGGGCTATGGGCCTGGGGAGACCCTCTCCATCCAAGGCTTGCCAGACTTGGGCCTCCTCCATCAGAGGAGAGCTGGGACATTTAAACATCAGGACTGCAGTCTGGTGTGTCTGTCTCTCAGGTTTGACCCAGTATTTCACACCGAAGCTGCGTGTAGCTTTGAGGACAGACGAGCAACTGTCCTGTCGCAAGCTCAAAGCCTCGCTTGCTCAGCAGCTCCTTGCCCATGCTCTCCATCTCTCCGTCTGTCTGATTCTCTCCCAATGGAGCGATCTGGTGAAGGAACACACGGGCAGGCCCCGCCCAGAGCGGCTGAGCAGGACCTGAGGAGCCCCTGCCAGGCCGGAGCGGTGGCAGCCGTTCCCTGCGTGGGTGTGAGGTGGCGGCAGGCCGCCATCCGCATCCCCTGGGCTTCCCTGTGTCACGTTGCTCTCGTGGGCTGCACAATGACAGATCTCAGAGCAATGGAGATTTACCGTGGGGACCGGAATCCCAGACCAGGCTGTCCCAGGCCGGGTCCTGGAGGGAGGGCTACGAGGCGGACCTGACCCGGCGCGCTCTTCCCTTTGCAACCTCTATCTTCCCTCCACCGCTTCTCGACACCTGCTCTTCCCAGGTCTGTGGCCATGGACCTCATCCGAGAGCCCAGTGGCTCCCACCCCGGGATGACCTCCTTTAAACTTAACCGGTGGCACTTTAACATGTGGATTTGGGAGGGTGAAGTTCAGTGTGAGTGGGTGCTGCCCACTTCTGTGCCGTCCACGCCCGCGTGCCTTTCATTTTCCATCACGGCCCCCCCAGGAAGTCTGTCCGCTGCAGGGGCGGCTCCCACCGGAAGCTGAACTCGGCCTAATGTGGACCCTGGAAATTGTCTACTTTTCTCTCCAGGGAACAGCAGGCGAAGAAGGGCGCCCAGGGCCAGCGGGGCCTCGGGGTGATCCCGGGCCACCCGGGAAGGGGAAGGACGGCGAACCGGTAAGCGGCTCACGCGCGCCCGTGTGTGTGTGTGTGTGTGTGTGAGTGAGTGTGTGTGAGTGTGTATGTGTGTGTGTGTCTGTGTATATGTGTGTGAGTGTCTGTGTGTGTGAGTGTGTGTGTGTGTGAATGTGTGTCTGTGTGTGTGTGTGAGTGTGTGTGTGTGAGTGAGTGAGTGAGTGTGAGTGAGTGTGTGTGAGAGTGTGTGTGTGAGTGTGTGTGTGAGTGTGTATGTGTGTGTGTGAGTGTGTGTGTGTGTGTGAGTGTGTGTGAGTGTGTGTGAGTGTGTGTGTGTGTCTGTGTGTGAGTGTGTGTGTGAGTGTGTGTGTGTGTCTGTGTGTGTGTCTGTCTGTGTGTGTGTGCGTGAGAGTGTGTGTGAGTGTGTGTGAGTGTGTGTGTGAGTGTGTCTGTCTGTGTGTCTGTGTGTCTGTGTCTATGTCGATGTCTGTGTGTATCAGGAACATGTTTCTATGCCTGGAGAAAATAGACTGGAAAAGGAAAAGGAACAGAAATAAAGAAGCACTGTAGTCAATGCCAATAAGCTGGGCCCAGTTGGGAAAGGTGAGGTCTGGGGTGAACGGCATTTTCTGCACCTGCTTTGCCGCCCTCCCCCCACTCCCCAAATCCTGAAGCCACGGATAACGCTCTGTGTCCTACATAAAGACACGCGCCCCATGCTTCCCCTAGTCACACAAGTCTATGGCAAAGTGTCATTTATATGTTAAGTACAGTAAGACATGAACAACAATACAATAAAACAGTTACAACCATCTACTGCAGCGAAAGCCGTTTAGAACGCATTGCTTATATCTGAGTCCTTCCACTTAACGTTGTTGGACTGTGGCCGAGCCTGGTTTACCTGAAACGCCGGGAAGCGAAGCGCAGCTTCGCCGGGTGTGGGCGCTGACTTCAGGCCAGTGCAGCCACGCGGACTGCTCGCTGCAGGGCAGGCCCAGCCCGGCGCTGGCCATGCCAAGATGTGGCCACCAGCCGGGGCCTCTGAGCCTCTGGTGATGGCGGGAGGCTGTTGTGAAATGAGTTACCCGTGGTCAGGACAGTCATGGGCAGGAGCAGAGAGGAAACCTCGGAAGTTCTGTGTCCATGAGCTACCCCAGGGCTCTAAGCACAGCCAAGAAGAATAGGGATCTGGCTTTGGATGAGGTGTGCCCTGCTCTGAAGCCCAGCTTTCCAGTCACCTGTGGGAAGCTGGTCATATTGAACTGTGGTACAAAGGAGTCACCACTCACTGAGGCAGTTGAATACAGTGCGACTTGCTCCATGTCACGTCTTCCCACATTCTCACCCACCGCTCCCAGTCACCCCTGATCTGGCTCAACAGCTGATCGCCTTCGCCCACTTCCACCCACCCTTCCCTCGCATTTCTCAGTTCCGTGGTGTGGACAATGAATTCTTGCCTGCGTGTTCTCCCCTCCCCCTCACTAATCTTAAGTGGAAAAAGTAGACTGAGAGGCAGGCGAGGTGCTTCTGCTCACGTGGAGGCCGGAGTCCCACGTGGCTCACAAGTCAGGGCTCCATCACAGCCGCTCTGCGTCTGCCCCGCCCCCAGCAGAGCGTGGCTGCCAATGGACGGCCAGTGCTGGCTCACCACCTCACACCTGCCCTGTGTCTCCCTTCCCCAGGGGCTGCGAGGCTCCCCCGGCTTCCCTGGCCCTCCAGGAACCAAGGTAAGTGCTGGCACGCAAATGGCGCATGGGCCCTTGTAGGGAGGGGCCGTGGGGACTTCGTGCTGTGAGCTCCTCTCCGTGCACTCCCGCTTCCCTCCGCTTCTCACGCACCCATTGGCTGGAGGTTCCGGGGGCACTTCACTGTGATCTTGAAATGATGTGCACGCCCGCGTGCGCACACACACACACAGCACCTCATACAGTCCTACTGTGTGAAATTGCCAGAGACACTCACTGGCTTCCCCCCATCCCAGGAGTCTCACGTGGTCAGCGTGATTTCGGTCACACATGAGGCTTCTCGCAGTGCAGGTCCACTTCTCATTTGCACGGGGTCTTCAGGGGCTCCTGGTGTGTGGGGTTCTGGACCAGGTGGATTTTTTGGGTCTCATGCTCAAATCCAGTGGTGCTTCCATACTTGGTATGCAGTGGCAGAGGGGACAGAGAGGGGAGACCCTGCTGAGAGGAGCTTGTGAGGCCACCCGGACGTCAGTGGCAGTCCTGGCCAGTCCTGGCTCCGGTCTGAGCCTCCTCTTATCATGGCAGCAGGTGAGCAGCAGAGCTGCAAATACAGCAGCTAGCTTGTGCCATGGGCCAGGCACCGGCTGCAGGCTCTGTGTGCTCTGTCTCACTTAATAAGAGTGGCTGGTGTGGCTGCTTCTATTATAGATGAAGAAACTTGCTTTCAGAGCACTAGTTACTTTCCTGAAGTTCTTACATAGTGAAGCCAGAACTTAAACCCAGGCCAAATCCACACAGTGAACCGTTAACACTCGAAACAAAGTGTGACCTCAATCAGCCGCGGGTCCCTCCGCCACTCCCCCAACACGGAAGGCACTGGTAAATTCTTGGCAGATTGACAAGTGGATTTTCTGGTGGTTGGGGACCTGGAGTTGGAACATGAATGCGTGTGTGGCTACAAGAGCGGAATGCTAGTTTGGTTGGGGGCAGGAGGGCACAGTGGATTTGGACCTTTGTCACCACATCACACGTAAGGCTGGGCCTGTCTGGAGGATGGGCTGCCTGGGTGCATCATGGGAAATCTCAGAGTACAGGGGTGGGAACTGGATTGGAAGACACAGCAGTTAGGATCTAAGGAAGAGCGCTCTTCTACCGAACCCTTATAGCACTGACCACTCCTCCCTCTCTCTCTCTCTTTCAGGGGGACCGAGGAGCACCTGGGATCCCTGGCTCTCCTGGTAGCCGTGGAGACGCGGGCATTGGGGTTGCTGGACCTCCTGTGAGTGTTGATTCAACCAATGCTTTTGCTTGTGTCTGGCCAGGCCGCCACAGCGTGCTAGCTCTGATAGGAGCCTGCGGCCCCGGTTCCTGTAGGTTGCGAATGAGGTCTTGGGGCCAGATGGGTGGAGGTTCTGTGCACACAGCTGACATGGGTGTAAAACGTAGTGTACCTTTTATAAGAATAAGAACGTAGCTTATGCAGAAACCAAGACTTGTCTGATTCAAAGGGAGGTCAACAAACATCACTAGAGTTTAACGAAAGGCAAAGACAATTCCTCATCCCCCCTTTGAGGGAAGGAAGCATAGCCAGCGACGTGGAGCTGGGTGGAAAGGAAGCTGAAGTGGACAGACCGTGTGTTTCCATGTATTTCAGGCAGAAAAGAGTTCATCATCCTGCTTGTTCTAATTAGTAAGGCACAAACAGACATGAGGTTATGCTTCTAAAATGCAATCTACCAATCCGTTTTATAGGACTGATTTTAACGTGTCGTTCCCACCCTCTGCCCTGTGTGCTTGTTAAGACCCCTAGAGGTGGTAATTATAAGAATTTGTAAAACCTCTAAGTGACAAGTGCTCGTTTGGATCAATGAAGGCCAGGTCTTATCCGAGTCAAGGATTGCTCTCAGTGTTCTTTCTCTGCAATACTTGAGTACTTGCAGAAATTGAAGACTCACTTCGTCCACAGCCAGTATATCTGGCCCTGAAACATGATGGTTTTTCATGGAAAGCAGACATTTCCCTGAGCAGTGGTTTTATGGCTCTTCCATCGGTGGTTTCCTGACCTCCCCTTCACCTTCCCAAGAACATCACAGTTTGTGGTCTAGTCTCTCTTGGTTTCTCATTAGGAAACGCAGCTGTCATTCTTCACCTGTAACTCGCGAAGAAGGATAGAAACCTAAGGGTGGGCCCGGTCACTCATACCTGTACTCATAGCTGCTGGGGAGGTGGAGACAAGATCATGTTTGAATCCAGTCTGGCATTCACAAATGAGAAAAGCTAGTGAGGCCTCCCGCACAGAGGGCTGGGGTGAGGCTCGGGTGGTAGAGTACCTGCCTAACCAGTACAAGCCGGAGCTCAACCCTTACCTCCCCAGGATTGCCAGAAATAAGAAGATACATTGACTCTATGATTCACAGTCTCACTCACAGATACCTGCTTTCCTCTCTTGGGTGTTCTTGTTCTACATCTCAGTGTAGTCCTAGGCTTCTTGCTTGGCTCTCCAAATCCTCCAGCCTTTGTTGTCTGTCCTTCTACTTCTCAAGAAGGATTCCTGAGGCCACCCATTTCTGTTCCACTGCTGGGCATGCGTACCATTCCAAGTGTGACAGGGTCAGGTGACGCTTTGTCTTCCCCCGTGTCCCTGGGATTCCAGCATGTGGAATCCTTTTGGGTTGAACTGTTTGCCTTAAAAGAAATTTTCAGCCAAGAATTTCTGACAGACAGACAGACAGAGCCTTCTACTTCATGACGTGATCAACTTTGCCTTTTATCCTGTCTCTTTGTTGTTGTTGTTGTCTAGTAACTGGAGAAACAATGTGGCAAAAGATCAAGGCAAAGGAAGCTAAGTAGTCCAGACTTCTTGTTTCTGAAGTCCTCCTTAGGGTCCAGCTCCATTCACTAGAGTGAAGGGTGGAATTCCTGTTGGAATAGAGAGAACTGACCATATGTCAAACTACAGGCCTAGGCCTGGGTGTGGCACGCTCTTGTTTAACAAGGTTTTCTGTGTCCTGTCTACTCCCCACAACTTCACCATGCCAGACACTTAATCAGAGAGCCAGGCAGCAGACCGGGACAGCTGGGCCCACCTCCCACTTGAGAGTCCGCTAAAGTCGCCATGAAATATCTTCCTGCTTAAGTGATTCCACCTACACATTGGCCAAGCCTCAGGTTGTAAATCAACTGTTTCAAGTGTCTTTCTTCCACTTTGGCTTATTAAAAGCTTCCTTGGTGGATGGAACCTGGTTGACTTGTCATAAATCTTCTCTTTGGCTCCCAGCCTGGACACTCGATGGAAATCTGTGGGGAGAGTTCAAGGGTGTGTGGAGAGCAGGCGTGCACAGCGGGTGAGGAAGTGTGTGTGTGTGTGTGTGTGTGTGTGTGTGTGTGTGTGTGAGGTTGTGTGGCTGCCCGGGACAAGAATGCTGCCTCTGTTTGCTGAGTAGTCATAGGTCGGTCTGATCCTCTGGGGAGTCAAAACATCATTTCCACTGTTGGGAGTTTCAAGAGTGAGGCGTTTATTCAGGAAGTCATCCAGAAATGAGAGGTGGAGAGGAGAGAGAACAGAGAAGAGGGGGGAACATGGGAGGAGAGAGGGGAGAGGAGAGAGAAAAGAGAGAGACAGAGACAGAGAGGGAGAGACAGAGACAGAGAGCGTACCCAGGGAGATCATGTTAATGAGAAGCTGAACCCCTGCATGACTACATGGTATGGTCTCGGAATGATCAAGTTGTAGTGTTGGTGTGCCAACACCCATCATTGCTCAGTGGTGTTCCATCATTGCTCAGCTGGCCACACCTGGCCAGCCAGAGCATCAGCCTCACATTCCGCGGTGTAGAAAGGGGGTCTTGGGGCAGGTGCCTGCAGCAGGTGGTGGTTGGGCTGCCAGGCCCAGTTAAGATGAGGATGGAGTGAGCCGTCTGCTGCTCTGGTGGCCTCGAGGTGAACCACGTGAAGTTCTGAAGATACAGGGCCGAGGCTCATGTAGGAGCTGGGCCAGGGAGTAGATGGACTTTCCCGTCCTTAGAAGCCACTTGTCATTGGTGGCACCTTACCTCCTGGCCTCCATAGTGTGAGCAGGACTTACACATTCCCACTGTCTTCGATCAGTGGAGGCACAGGGTAGATCTGCTAGGAAGCGATTCTCCGCCTGGTGCTATGCTCCAGTTCCTGGGGACCAGGGCCAGCTCTGCCCCTCTGGAAGGGGGGCCTGGGGCTCAGTCGGCTCTCTCTATCCCATCATTGAGCAGGAGGGCATGAACAGCCACATAGCTATTTGAGATCTTGGCCTTCTTCAAAACATTCTCGCAAGAAAAGGAAATTTCCTTTAATCTTCAAGTTGTCTCTGATCTTCCTTTAGCAAGGTTTGAAGTGCTGAAAATGAGCTTTAGCCCAGCCTGGGGAAGATCAAAGTGTCCATGGGCCTCCCTGGCACCAAGAGTGGGCTATTTAGGACAGGGCTCCTGCTGGTAGCCACCAAACTCAGAACCTGCTTCTTCCCAGTCTGATCCTCTGTTTCCCCATGGTCAGACACCAGCAGTGTCTGCAGTACCTTGGGGAAGCAGGTGGTAGAAGTAACACCTTCTGGACTGAGAAGGTGTTCCTCATTTTCTGTCCTCTCATCACCGAAGAGCCTAAGACTAGCAAGAAACTGGTAACTGAAGACTGATAGCCTATATAGGCCCTGTTTGCAGACAAGGAAACCTTTCAGATGTTTTACTAAAGAGTAGATACACCCAAACAGGGGGCTCTCAGCATCTCCCAGCCATGACCCACCACACCACACACTGATTGTGGTTTTCTCATAACTCAAGCACTAGTTGTGGGCAGGTTCCTAGTCTCCCTGAGATTTCAGCCCAGCATGCGGCCTGCTCCTGGCATGTCATGCAAGGGCCTGTGGAATCTTAGACATGTAGGTAAAGGGGGAATTAGATAGAGCTTGATTTATAGTATAATGTAGCAAAGAAAAAAGAGCAAGTGTTTAGCACATATAAAATACCTTGGGACTTTCATTTCTAGAACTGTTCACTAATTATAATTACCAACACACACCCATAATGTGTCAGTGTCTGCATTTGCATATGCATCTATAATTGTGAATGAATGTGTGGTGTATACACACACACACACACACACACATACATATGTGTATGTCATATGTCACTTAAAAGCATGGATATGTTCTGAAAAAATAACTCAGGCAACTTTGTCAATTAACATCAGAATGTACTTACCCCTGAAAGATAGCCATGACATCACTTTAAATATGATCTTACCGGATTTTATTGTTTATATAGTCTGTCATTGTTAAAACATTGTTGTGCAGTACATGACTGTATATATATATATATATAAACATAATTACATACATATGTAAGTCTATGCACACATATACATAGTACTCTTATTACGAAGAATGTCACAGCAGGCAGAATAGCAAGATGGCGTCCGAGTAGCCACTAACGAGGGTTACAGGCCAGTGGTCACACTCTTCCCTTGTCCATCCTTCAGCTTTTATTGTTTGAAAGCACACCAGAGACATAATATCCTTTAATCAGTGTTGGAACCTGTGCTTTGGAAAGGCGAGATATTTTTAAATGTATCCGCAGTTTCATTACCACATAATCAAATGTCCAGTTACTGTTCATTCTTCTCATCCATTCATAATTGCTACATTTAAGTCAATTTTCTTCTCTGTCTTAAGAGCCAAGTGAAGCAAACAGCAAACCATAAGAAGAGTGAAATTAGGGTTGTTTGCTATCAAACAGAAATCAATGGAGATTATCATATTAATTAAAATTAGCCAGTCCCACAGCGACATATATTTTCTCTCATTTGTGAAAGCTAGAGGCAAGAGGCCCTAGTTCATGAAAATAAGAAGGGACCACAAGATAGGAGGCTGTGGATAGGAGGAAGAGAGGGGACAAGGAAGAGCAGTAGAGGAGGTGAACAGAGATCCCTCTTCCTCCCTCCCTCCCCCCACCCCACCATTATCCTTCTTGGTTTTATTTGTTGATGGAAACAGGTTTAGTCTTTAGTCTTTGAAGTTCTCACAATCTCGGATTTGTGAATTTCATAGTTGAGCACATTTCGCTTCCCTTGTTGTTCTGATTATTTGATACTCAGCGTTAGAGGCTTGATCAGACTCGGCTTCGTTCTTCCACAGAGGGGACCAGGTGCTCCTGGGCCCCCACTGATGTCCAGTGCTCGCATCGCTTGGCACATCGGGCTTGCAGGTTGGTGTGTTCTAGTTTCACATGTTCGTTAATACTGGGCTTCTGCTACAGCGAGAACGCTTCCTTGTATCCTGTTTGCAAACCCTGCATAGTGTTTGCAGTACCTGACGTGGAAGGAAGGAAAGGTAGGAATGTCTCAGCCTTGCCCACTGATTGCTTTTGTATAATGACTTGGCTCCTTAGTATCTGGCAAAGATGACTAATTAGATATTTGTTTATGTTTTGAAGAGGGAATCTGAACTCATGGACTTAAATGCACTGGTCTGTTTTTAATGTAGCTCAGCTATTCCTTTTGGTATTCAAATGGTTGTTTCTCACAGCAATAGGCTTCTATACCTGTTGAGCCAGAGTGGTCTGGACACAGCCTGGCAACTGATGGCTGTCTCCTTGCTCTGGGAAATGGTGGATGTTCTAGGTGTCTGTGCATGCTCTTTGGCCAGGTCTATGACTGATCATTAAATTCAAGGAATTGTGGTTCTCCTTAGTGGAAATTGGTCTCAAAGCCTGAAATTGGGTGTTAGCTAAAAAGATCTTAAAAAACTGTAATCATTAAAGATAATTAAATGTTTAATTTAGGAAGAACATTAGAGAAATAATGTATAGTTGTTCCCTAATATACTCTTTTCTGTGTCTTACAAGTTGACAAACAGAAGAGCTGTGGGAATGATCCTGACAGGCCAGGCCCAGGGCTCTTTTGTGCTTCTAGGATCTGCTAAGTTTTCATGAAGCTAAGACTTGAAATGAAGTTCTTAGAGCACAAACTCCATCCAGCACAGTAAAGCTTATATTCGATGACATAAGAAAGTATTTGGAGCCTAGATTAATAAATGAGTGCAATGTTTGTGGTAAACTGTGGAATTTAATTTGAAAACAAGAGTGATGTTAAAATGGCAACATTCCGCATGCCAGTAACACACTGCCCCTTTCCTCCAGGAAGCGTATACAGCCTCACAGGAACCGCTTTGAGATGTGCAGAGTTCAGATGCACACATGTTGGTCCATTATAATGACAGCAGTGTGCATTCCAGTGGAGGGACCCATGGCCTTTGAGCCAAGTAGACAAGAGATGCAACTCCGAGCTTGTAATTCTACCTGTTTAACTTTGGCTATATTACATAATGCCATTTAGAGTCAGCCTTTCCAACTGTAGCAAAAGAGATTCCCAAGGTTCAGGCTTCAAGCGAGTGTTAAAGCAAAGCTATGTGTGAGGAGCAGTGACCAAGAGCTACAAGTCCTCTTCTTTCCACACTTTGAGTCTTTCACCTCTGCATTTCTGTACCTATGGCCTCCCTGCGTGTGTACAGCTCTTTCAGACATACCTGGAAGTAGATAATGAATACCTAGAGCCATTCTCACTCCATTAATTCTTTATTAGCTGATATACTTCTCAATAGAGAACTCCCTTATTTACTATTTGCAATACAGATAGAAGGCAAAGTGTACATGCCCATGTCCCTGGACATCATTGACTTAGTGGCAGAGTTCAGTAGTGACCAAGACTCTGTCCTATAAAGCTTATGATACTTACTGCCCTTTTATAGATATACTGGACACCTGTTATAGTACATTAAAGTCTTCCCTTTATCTGCTTGCAGTAGCTTGGTCCAAAGAAGGGCTTTTTCCTTGTCCCTGTACAATCCTTAGGGCTCCAGGCAAACCATGCTATAATTGGATACTGATTCTCTGAAACCACAGCCTGTAGATCTTTGGTGTTTTCCTCTACTTTCCTTAGGATTCAACCTGCCCTTGGAAAGATACTCACTCTGTTTCTATCAGGGAGCTCCACAATGTGTTTAGGGAGTAGGCTTGTAGGTTACTTGTTCCAAAATGCTGCATGGATTCTGGCATTTGTGCACAACGTTTTTCTCCCTCTGGAGCGTGCAGGACCGCCTTCTGGGCTTTGCTACAGTGAGTGTGTAGGAGGCGCTGGGATGCTGGCGGGAAGTCGGACTCACGCTAACCTGAAGGATGGTCCAAGGCAGAGGCATGTAAACTCAGAGCCCCGTTTTGAAAAGAGAAGGCAACTTGTCCAAATAGAAAGGAAGGCCTTTCATGCAAAAGCACCAGCATAGCCAAGGCCCTTCAGGGCACAGGCAGAAATGCTCCTGGAAGACCTGAAGTGGTCCTTTAGCATGTTCAAGTATGACCTCGATATGCCCAGCCATCCTGAGTAGATAAAGCCAGGGCACACTCGAGCTGTAGAGAAGACGTGGGCTCAGGTCTCAGAAACCCAGTGAGCATGAGGGCAGGGTGGCACCGTGCAGGGAATAAATGCAGAAGCTCCCTGGATTTCTGGGAACAGCATTTGTGTGTGAGCACAGAGTGGCAATGCGGCTTCCAGATGAGAGGAATTTAGTGACATTTTCCTGGACGGTTGAAGTCTTGGCTTAGACATGAACAGCACAGTATGTATTGAATGACCCTTCCATCACTGCTCTGCTTGCTGATTTGCTCCTTTGTTTCTTAGGGCCCATCAGGACCACCAGGAGACAAAGGCCCCCCGGTACAGTATGCTTTAAGTGGGTCCCTATGGGAAGAATTAATTCTGCTCAAATCAAAGCCATCTGAAAATGCAGGAACCAAAAACTAAAATAATTTCCGAAAGTCCCTAACGTTAAATGGTGTGACACTGTAAAATATGTGTCCTAACCTATGGGATAGGATATATGACCTACAAATGCACATCAGGAAGAGGGATTGAAGGCCATCTTGACTCTGTGTGTCCATTTTAGAGTTAGGGCTTTACTTTGGGGCAGCTCTTTATCCCATAAGGAGAGACACAGTTTAATGAATCAAATTTTCAGAAGAGCTGATTTTTTAAAAATTGTAGCTTTGTGGTCCCTCCCACCCCATGAACAAATGAGGTGAATTCTTTTTGTGCATCACATAGGCACAACAAGACCCATAAGCCATTGAGCAAGACCTAACGGACAACAGGGGAGAGATCATCATAAGCATTTGTCCCAGGAGAGGCAAAGGCCAGTCATAGGAAATCATATACATTTGCCATGAAAGTGTCAATGCTTATAAACACACCTTAATAGAAAAGACATCATCTTAACAGCTGGGAGAGATATCATACCCTTGTCTTGAGCGCATATTTGAAATATATTTGTATGGTTTCTGAATAAGGAGGGAAGGGGCTTTTATAGCCATTTTGATAAAGAAATTGAGGCACAGCAGTTAATGGTAGGGCCCAGAGAAAGTTATACAATGTAGAGGTGAGGAAGATGAGAAGAGGGGACCTCTGTGAACATTCTAGAACAGACGGTCAGCTCACACATTGCAAGGAGCATAAAAAATGCCCTGAAGAAGAGCTGATTTCAATTTGTTGTTCTATTTAAGGGGGAAAAAATCTAAAAGGAAACAAAGAATGTGTTCAGTTCCCTGATTTGGTCCAGAAATGTTCAATAGAAGGGGAATGAATTCCTCGTATACTTTCAGGTGCCATCTATGCGCTGAGCATTGTGCCGGAGGCTTGCACACAAGGCTTACTTTGGCCATTGGCAGCCCTGATGTTATGCAACAGTGCCTAAAGGATTTGAGCTCAGGCACCGCTTGCTCCCTTGGGTAAAGGTTTCCTGAGCACTCTGTGTGCTGTGCTGCACACAGCACAGCAAACTCAGAAGCAGGGTGCTTTTGGTACTTGAATTAAGTTGGCCTCCTCCTCACCATAACCATTTGTACAATGACAGCCAACTCTTGCCAAGAATGGGGAGCCTTTGTTTGCTCACATGTGTGTGGGGGGGTGTCTTCTCTTCTTTTCCATCAGGGATCCCGAGGCTTACCTGGATTCCCCGGCCCCCAGGGACCAGCTGGTCAGGACGTAAGTAGACAGGAGTGGCATCATTCGGCCTCCCGATTCATGGCCTTAGAGTCACCCAACTGCCTACTAACTCCTGGACTCACTTGACTATGTAGAAAGTAGTATAGTCCAGTCAAGGATTTTCAGGAAGCCCTGAAAAAAACACCTGCTACTCTCCCAATTGTTGATCAGTGTTCATCTTCAGAGTTTATTGAGTTCCACGTCCCCTTTCCCCCACCACCAAATTACACTCGGTAGATTGAGAGGTTGACAGAGGATATGAGCGGGAGGAGTCAAGTGGATCAAGATTATATGTCTACCTCAGTTATCATTTTCTTTCTTTCTTTTCTCAGGGTGCACCAGGAAATCCGGGAGAAAGAGGGCCTCCGGGAAAACCAGTATGTCATCTTTCAGTACTGGATGAACGTTGACTATCAGGCAGGGCTCTGGTGACAAAATAAAGTGCAATTCAGACAGTTGAAGAGACAAGCAAGGGGTCTTTCTCAGCTCTGTGGGCGGAGGGAAACGATATGGACTGCATAAGGCTTAGCGAAAAGCCAGACTCGAGAGTTGTTCCCACCGCTGTGTGTGTGTGTTCAAAGCCAGATGAGAGCTAGAGCGGTAAGATAAAGCAGGAACTGTAGCTGTAGATTCAAAGCCATGGCCAGAAGGATTGACCTGAGGCAGAGCGGAAGCACCTTCCACCCTGGTCCCTTGAAGTCCTGTCCCCCTGGTCCGACCCAGCCACAGCCGGCGGGGATGCCCCTAGAGTGCAGCTTCCCTTGGTGTGGAACAGGCCCGAGGAGGCCGAAGCTGATAGTGAGGGTAGACTCGAGCAACCCTATTGCAAAGTCCCAGCTCGCCCCTTTGGCCCCTTTGGCGGGCTTGCCCTTTTAGCATTATTTAGATAGTGAGACACATCCATTTTTGTCTCATCTAAGGAGAGTGGAAAGCTGCAGAAGCTTGCCACAATGTGGGCTGCTCCGGAAACCCAGTTCTTGGTGGTGTGGCCACAGCCCGGTATGGCTCCTGCAGGCTCCGCAGCATAGCACCTCCATGCTCTGACTGAGTAGCCAGAGGAGGGGCAATGGCTGAGGCAGGTAACAGGTCTTGGTGGCTTCTCTAGGGATAAGCAGGTCCTGGCAGCTGTGTAGATGCAGGGCGAGTTAGCCCACTTAAGGTTCTCATGCCTACCATGGGAGAGTGGCTGTGAAATTGGAGAATTGTGGGCTTCAAGAGCAAGCCCACAGCCTGGTTTCAGAACCAAATGCTCACCTGGGCAGAATACTCCCCTAGAGAGGCTGTGAAGGGCTTTGTCTCCTTTGCAAGCCTGGTGGGCGATGGGTTTCAAATAAGGACCCAGGCACAGAGCCCCTCTCAGCTCAAGGCCACCATCGCTCTCTTAGATGAGTTGGTGGACCCAGTAGATGCCAGGATGGGAATCCTGGCTTGTCTGTGTGGATCCGGTACATTCCACTGAAGATTTCCCGGGGGATGTGCATAAATCCTTGTTTGGAGTGAGAAGTCATTGACTCACCTCTCCTGCATGGAGTCAGCTTCACACCAGCCAAGGATGTGCCTCACAGAAGCACATCATCGTTCAAGGGCTAGGCTGCAATGAAAGTGTGAGGAGAGAAAATGAAAGTGTAAATCACTATGGCACACCAAGACCCTGATGTTGCCCAGCAAAAGAGGCCAACTGACAATGTGCTACTGTGATTCCCTTGTCACCACAAAAAATGAATGCTGGAGAGAGGGAGATGGGAAGAGAGGGAGGGATGGGGAGAGGGAGAGGGAGAGAGAAAGACTAGAGAGAGATAAGAAATAGAGACAGACAAGATAGACAGCTGATGGATGGATGGATGGATGGATAGATATTGATAGATGTTGGTAGATGTTGAAGGATGTGTAGATAGATGATAGATAGATAGATTAGGTAGAGACTTTGGACTCTTTAAACTCGAGGAATGTACTTTTCTTAAGTAACCCTGATCATGACTTCAGGGTCTTTATTATCTCACTATGGAGAATCATTGTATCAGGGGCTCCCGAGAGCCCTCTCAGTTTCAATGATTTGCTAAAGGAGCTGCAAACACAGAAATCCTGTTCTACTCCTGCCTATGTCTGATTGCAGCAAGGAGGTGCATATTCAATCCAGCAGAAGTATTTAGGAGTCTTGGCCAGGGGGAAGGAGGGAGTAAGTAAGTAGGGAGCAGTGTCCAGCTACCACCTCCTTCCATGGACTCATCTGGCTGGTGCTTGACTCTCCCAGCTACACTGCCTGGCACCATGTACAAGGTGCTGCCACAGGAAACTGGCTCAAGTGTGGCAGCCAGGAGTCTGTCACGTAGGCAGAGCATCGCCATATGGCTCCCATTTACTACACAGCCTCCTGCTTCTCCAGAGGTCACCTCGGTGCTGCGTGGCCCAAAGTCCCCGCTGGGTGTCTCGTGGTTAGTGTCAGCTGTCTTAGCCCAAGGCCCCAGGTCAGCAGACACATCCTTTCAAGGCTGCGCATCCCCAGGGTTTGAAGGTGATTCCTAGGACCCAGCCAGGAACGTGCAAGATGAGAACAATCCGGTCCTGCAGAGTTAACCCTTTGCTGCAGTTGTCCATCCTGTGCCAGGAGTCCTCATCTCTGGTTGGCTTTCCGGAAGCAGAGTCCACAGCGGGGATTCTCGTCCCAGTGGAGGGTTGAGGGAGGGTTGCCGGAGGACCTCTGGAAGGATGGAGAGAAGCAGGCAGCATGGGATGGGAAGAAGCCCATCAGAGATGTGAGTTCAGCTCAGGTCTAGCTTTGTCCTCACCCCACAGGGAGCTCTGGAAGGGAAGGCAGCTCAGCGCTATGCTCCCTCCCATGCTAGCAACCACCATTACGAATCTGAGGAATCTATGACAATTTTGGACTGAAGCCAGTCTATTTGGGCCTCCCCTGGGGGCTGTGGAACCTACCAGCATTTAATGGGCATGGTTGAGGAGGACCATCCGGTGAAGAGAAAGGATGAGGGGAAAGAGACCTGAAAGGTCTGGAGACCGTGAGGCATGGTTAAGGCTGGCAGCCTGTGCCACTGCTGCAGGAGAGAAGTTTCTTCATGGCCCCCAGGCCTGGGACATCACCTAGACTCCTGTGTACCATGCAGGCAGACATCCATTATGAGTTACAGCTTGCACTTTGAAGGCCTCTTGTTTTCTGGAGGTGTGTGGGCTGACTATATGGGCATATGTACTTATTTATTCTTACCTTGCCAGGGTCCTTCTTCAGTGCTGTCTCCAGAGGACATAAATCTCTTGGTTAAGGTAAAAGTGCATGTGCATGGCAAATGGTGGCGGAAGATTGGAGTTCAGTATTTTTTTTTCTGTGAATAAATCTTTGAGGGCACTAACAGCAGCAGCAGCAGCAGCATTTGTGGAGAATTCACCCTATACGCCCACCTGAGCACTAAAGCCCTGCTTTCTAATAGGCACTCACTAGCCACATGACTCTGTCTCAGTTAAAGCTGGAATGGATGCAATTAAGAATTCAGCTCCTTGGTCACACTTTGCAAGGACTTAGTGCTACTAGATGAGCTGGACCATTGCAGCTATGGGACAGAAAGTTCTAGACAGTGTTGTGCTACTTTTCATCTGTGTATGTCTCAGCTTTCATACTTCATGAGGTAGGTACCGTTCATATTCTTGTTTTGTATACAAGAAATACAAGACAGTGGAAAGGCCAGTGGAGAAGAGAATATTCTGGGGATAGAATCTAGCTCCAAGGTCAAACGTTGGCCTTAACTTCAACAGAGGAGATCCCCCCCACCTCACATACTGCTGGTTAAAGGGCCATAAGCAAATGAAGAGGTGAAGCTGGTTGCTGGGCTTGTAGCCAGTGCAGCCCCAGATTGGTGCAGATTTTCCTGGTTTCTCAAACTATATGTGCTTTCTCCATGAGAAGCGAGTAGCCTGAGGATTTGGGCCTAACTCCACTTGGACAAGGCAGGACATAGCTGCACAGTTGAGCTGCAGGCTCAACTGTGAAGGTGCCCAGATGCCTGGCTGAAGGCCTCAGGTCTTAAATGAGCTGAGAAAGGCCAAGCACAAGAGGCAGGGTAAGATTTTTGTTTCATAGAGAACATGCATTTCGATGAGGGTTACTTGGATTGTTTAAAAAAAAATGGCCAATGCCAGAAAGGCCCTAGTTCATGCATGAAACCACGAGAGGAAAATGAAACGTTATGAGAATCTTCTCATAAGCCTGGAACTCCCTCTTAGTCTCCCTGCACATGGAGATGGCTCGATGGAATATTATACATTTTATTAAAAACGAGTAGTAGAGCAATCTTTCAAGATTTTATTGGTGAGGTTTTTTTCCCCTCCCTACCATCAAGGACATGACAATAAATCATTATCTAGTGATTCAATGCCTTTTTTATTATGGGCTTTTATTAACCTCAACCACTCTCCATAATTCTGTGGCTGTGGAAATGCTGGGTTTCCATCAGCCCCCCCTGCCCCAGGGGACTCCAATCTTCACACATCCCAGGCTTTATGCCAATAATAACTGGCATGAATGCACACCATGCAGTCAACACATAGACAGGTATTTAACTGAGTTAATCTCTCTTAACAGTTAATGGATGTTCAGTTCATCTGAGCAGCTAGAATCTGACAGGGAATGTGAAAACCTGCAGTCGGGGTGGTTCGCAGAGATGACCTGGGCCCCGGGGGATGGACTGAATCTGGAAATGTGTTCAAAGCAGCCCGGGCTTGGCCAGGGTGCAGCACTGACCACCTTTACTTCCCAGGATTTAGAGTCGATTGTTGCAAGCTTGATTGACGTTGCAGGTTAAAGCCTTGTTTAGTCCAAGTGAGTGGGGGCAGGTATCCCAGCTGCCGAGGAGGTGTTTTTATTATGGCATATTTACCTCTGCCCCTGAGAGGGGCAGTCTGTAGCTCATTCTGACCATTGGAACACTGGCTCATCTTCTGTGAGTCCTTCCTATATGGAATCCCATCATTGGGTCTGAGGCCAATGACAGGATGTCTCCATTAGACAGCCGCCCGGCATATGTAATTTCCTCTGATCAGCATGAGGATCTCTGCAGTGCATTCTGTTTCTGTTTGCGTTTGCAGGGAGGTGGTTAGGCATTACTAGGTAAGTTTCTTGTTTTAAGGCCACAGAGCTGGTAGTGGCAGGACCAAGACTTAAATCCAGCATTAACAACTCCGGAGCCTTTGCAGTGAAGCACCTTGCCCACACTTCCTGCCAGTGGACAAAATAGAAGCAGCTAGTGAGCTCCCTGCCACCCCGCCTCCTCTGCCCTGAGAGGTGAAGGTCACACAATGCTTTGATGGGAATACTGAACTGAGATTCAGATAGCTACAGAAGGTTAGATGAGCTGACCGCTTTTATGATGCAACAGCAGGATTTCATTGAGCATTGATTTACTTTTATGGATGTACTAGGACTGTGAATGGTATGAATCTCACTCCGTGCTCACAGAACTCCTAGACTGAGCCAGTGTGTTGACTCCAGTGCCCCGTTACGGGTGGGTACATCTGGGTCTACTCACAGTCTCATCTTCAAGGAACAACCTCACATATTTGGCAGATATAACAGACCCAGGCTGATGATGGACTGGGAATTGGAAAGAAAAATGATATGATTTTTAATGCTCAGTGGTAACCTCTTGATACTATGATGTCACTGATAAGAATGGTTCCTAATGAGCAGTACAGAGTCCAAGTTCAGTAAAAACCTTATAGCCTGAATTTTTGCTGCTACAGGCCCAGCTTTATTCTTATCCATGCATCCATGCATCCATCCATCTACCCAACCATCTACCCATTCATACATCCTTTTTCCTTCTGTCCCTCCTTACCTCCCTCCCTCCTTGCATCCAATCATGCATCTATCCATCCACCCATGATCTACCCATCTACAAAGCAAATCCTTCAATAGTGGTCATTCCTAAAGTCTTTGGGAGAACAGTGGACCTATCCCCACCCAGAGGCCTTCAGGAAGGCTTCTTAGAGGAGGAGAATCTCAAAGATTTAGTAAGAATGAGGCAATTAAAGGCAGATTGGCCGTTCAGACTTACTTCAAGTTCATGAATTTGAGACCAACAAGATGAATGCTAAAATCACCTGAGAACACATATATGTTGGACTATGAACGTGAGTAGCTTCCACATGCCTTTGCAGGCCTCTTGACAGAGCACCGAGAAGCTCTTGGTGCTGTTCAAGATGCACGCACACTGCAGCCTCAAAGCTCAGCACAGTGCTCAATGTGCCTTGCAAAGAGAATAATAGGTTAATAACAGATGTTCTGAGCATTATCTGTGCTGACACAGGCTGAATTTGTATGATCTCATTTAATTTCTTAGTAGCAAGAGAGAAGGAGCAGGAGAGAGGGAGGATTAAAGGAAAGACTATGGAGGAAGTAGTCCAAAGAAAGAATGCAGGGTGTGTCGGGAGTGCAGTGGGGCTAGCTTCACGTAGTCCCTGCTAAACTCCCAACTGTCAGATCTAGCTTGACACAGAAAATCAGAGTCACTTCTGAATTGACAGACTTATAAATTTGCCCCAGGGGCGGCATTTTTACCTACCTTGAAGAGTAGCACAAATTCCAGAGAACATTTGTGAAATGCCTCCCTTGGGCAGGGAACAATGCTAAGGCTCAGCTGCACGTCCTGGCGGGGGAGTGTGTCCTGTGGTGTGTGTCTGCTGCCACCTTTGTTCCCCTCCTTTTCAGGAACCACTTTACCTTTCCACCTGGTGGAGACTTTCACTCTCATCTTTGTTGGTCTCTAACCTCAAGGACACAGCATGCTGCTTTTAATAACACTGAGCATTTGTCTTAAATATGCGCTGTTAATTTTTCTTTGATGCTGATGGGTATTTTATGGGCAGATTTCGCCATTTTCTCAGGCTGCACTTCTCTCAGTCTGACTGGCCCCAATTAAGGAGAATGGAGTGAAAAATCCAGACACGTCAGTGCTGAATGTAAAGTTTAAAGTTATCTGAGTAACGCCTCAATCTTCTCACTTGCTTTTCCATCTTTGCTGGCATCGTGAAGAAAATTTCCATCCAGACAGTTAGGAATCAGAACTGCTTTGCAAGTCATTGAGTTATCTATCCATGTTCTCTCTCTGTCCTCTCCTAGGACATTTGCAATGACTGCCCTCCTGGTCCCCCAGGCCTTCCTGGTCTGCCAGGCTTTAAAGGGGATAAAGGTCTCCCGGGAAAGCCAGGGAGAGAAGGCGTAGAAGGGAAAAAGGTAAGGACAAAGGGGGAAACCTGATCTTTGTCATTGCAATCATCGCCTCTCTCTCTAGCCAGGGCACAGGGATGAAGGGACAGTGTTATGGAAATGTGGGAAGTGGCTAACTTTGGCTTTTTTTTTTGTCACTTTCAGAGTATGTTGACTGTAAAACTCTATACTACATGTGCATATTTAGAAATTCATATTGGGTTCACTGACATTTCCGACTTCCTCTTGTCCCTTCCACCCATCCAACTTTGAACCATCTGGTATGTCCAAGTACCAAAGCAGGTCTTTAGAGCACATGGATCCATCCCTCTGTGCATTCATCTGTCCATCTGTCCACCCGCCATCCCTATCCACCATCTGTTCATCCATCCACACAGTCACTCCTATGTCATCCCTGGTTTTGGAGTGTGTTCCAGGTGTAGACACTGTTCCAGCATGTAGACACTGAGGGAACCTAGAAGGAAAAACGGAGACCTTGTTCTTGTGGAGTTCATGAGCTATTGAGAGCAGAATGGAGGATGGACAGTTTTGTATGTGTGTGGGTCAAAGCAAAAAGTTTGCTTTCAACTCTGAAAACATCTCCACAAAAGTAGACGAGAGGAAAAAAACCACAATTACAATACTGAAAAAGCATTGAACCGGAACGTGCTGCATGTTCCTGGCAATCTGCTAAGACACTGCAAAATCAGGGGAAAAAGTCATTCTTTCATATAACCATGAGGATGCAGCCTCTAATTGTGTATTTCATCTCAAAACAAGCAAAGAAGCCTCGAGTAAGAGAGTGAGCAGCAATGCCCATCACGCTTGGTCTGTCTGGTGTCTTGTGTCTCTCCACGGCAGCTTATCCAATTGAAGGAGAGCATCTCCCCATTACATAATGGGAAGTAGTTTTATAGCTACCCTCCTACAAAATTGGGCAATGGAACCATTGTTTCTCAAGCTTGGTACATTGCAAAGAGATGGATCCTGGGCCTTGAGAGATTGCTGGTTATAAAACTGACAAAAACCTTTAGCTTTTTTTCTTCTTTTTCATTTTTGGTACTGGGGGTCGAACCCATGACACCCGCACTTGCTAGGCAAGCACTTTTTCACTGAGCTACACCCAGCCCATTATTTCATTTTTAAAAGTTTTCCCACATATTTAACGATAGAAAAGCCAGGCTCAAGCCTCTCAGCCTAGCTACTCAGGATGCTGAGATCGAGATGGTTCAAATTGATCCCAGGAGCAAATTCCATGAGACTCTTATTTCCAATTCACCACCAAAAATCCCATAAGTGAAGCTGTAGCTCCAGCGGTGTAGACTGCTAGTATGGAGCACAAAAGCTCAGGGAAAGTGCCCAGTCCCTGAGCTGAAGCCATATGACCTAAACACACACAGCAAACAAGATAGAATTCACAATGACAAGGTCTCTAAAGAGAATGTTCAGTAATACTCAATGTACATATGTGGAAATGGAGCAGGTCCCTTGAGGGGCTGGGAGAGCTGGGGGAGAAGGAGGAAAGGGAAATGCATTGACGGAAATGCATTGGACTCACAAACATGAGCACATGTAAAGCGCACATGTAAAGTTCAACGTGTAAGGCACGCACGTGTGAAATGAGATGTCACATCATTCCCTCTCACCATAGCGGATACCCCCTCCTTTCACAGTGTGTTTGTTGTCTGTCATTACTTCATTAAACGTTTACTCCAGCCACCAAACATTTCATGACCTCAGAATTTCTAAGAAGCAAGAATGGCCTAGTTGGGTTCTGACTCGGGACTTTCTTGGGCTGGCTTGAGTAGCAGTCATCTCAAGTCCTGTCTGACAGAGTCCTCTCCCAGCAGAGTCCTCCTGGGGCTGCTGGCTGAATAATCCCTTCCCGGCTGCCAGCAGGAGGTGCTGTCTTCTTCAGGGAGCTATGTAGCTGCATGGAGACAGCGGAAGTTGGTTTTTCCCCAGAGTGTGAGGTTGGATAGACAGCAGGGCTAGAGAGAGGCAGGCTGCGGTGAGGGACAGACATTGTACACCTGATCTCTGACTTGTATACCATCATGGGTGCCATTTTCTGTTAGCCACACAGAACTCACATGAGGCAAATAGGAGCTGCTCAGGGTGCAAATGTGAGAACGTAAATGTTAAGTGAGGTTCTGCCACGCCCACTTGCCACATGCATGAAAGCATACCCACTATGATATTAGGGCCAGCTCAGATCCTTTGCCAGATATACTGCTGGCAGTGGCCGACGGCAGGGCTATTTGCTCAGAAGTCAGTGAGCAGAGGGGCAGGGCTGACAGATCTGTAATGGCCTGGATGTAGGATCCAGACATTCACATTATTCTCCTTTTCCTCCTCCTTTGTTCCTGCTACAGGGAGACGCTGGACCCCAAGGCATCCCAGGGCCCCCGGGGGTAGCTGGGCCACAGGTGAGTGAGACTCCGTCCACACCTGCAGGTGTACAATCTTCTTACCACCCGGCTCATCCAAGCTCTGGGAAGAGGGATGATTGTATAAAGGAAGTGAGTAGCCTTAGTCTCAGAAAACCTGGGTTCTAAGTCTGATCTTGGCACCCACTGTCCTTGAGACCCAGGGCAGGCCAGCTCAACTTGTATCCAGAACCAGTGTGGACCATTTACAAACACCTGAGAGCTGCAAGGTCTGAAATGCAGGCAGGTCCTGCAGTGTATGGGCCTTAATAGTCCAGGCATGAATCTAGGGTCGGCTCTCTTCACTCCACACGGATGATAACACAATCAGCTGCAGAGACATGTTGGAACTGAGTAGTGGCACACAATAAGAATTTGGCACTTGATGAAAAGCCGGCAACTGCTTTACAAAGGCAAGTGAGTGTTATTATCCTCATGTGCACGATTTCAGGTCAGCCCCAAGCTCTGTGGCTTCTGGGAATCAGAGTGCTGCCCCCCCCATCCCTCCCCTACCCCAGGGGGAGGGAGGTGTGAGCTCCAACCCTCTCCAGAACAGGCAGGGAAGCAGTCCACCACTGTGAGGATGAGTGTTTGGTGGCAGCATCTGCCATGCTGGCATTGGTGACAGTATTAATCTCTGAGATGGGACTGTGTGAGAGCTGGGATGGGGAGGAAAGGGGGCACGGCTTCCCTCCTTGGCTGCCTTCCCATCAATGGTGCTCTTCCAGGATGTGCCCTGATGGTCTGGGACCTCGGTGCTGTGGCAGGTACCCTGCCCCTAGCACTCAAGGGCCTGGCTGGACACAATGAGCCACATCTGCAGGGAGCCTCAGCGTGAAGTTGTCTCTGGGAAACAGTGACCAGGGACTACGGCCTGGGTGGAATCACACCTCAGCCCTGTGTCCTTCAGAGAGGCTCTTAAGCTTTCTGCTCTTCTCTTTTGGTCCATCATGAACTCAGGGCCGAGGCCCTGTCTTTGAGCACTAGCTCAAGGCTAGTGTTCTACTACTTTCAGCCACAGTGCTACTTCTGGTTTTCTGAGTGGTTTATTGGAGATAAGAGTCTCACAGACTTTCCTGCCGGGTCTGGCTTTGCAATGCAATCCTCAGATCTCAGCCTCCTGAGTAGCTGGGATTCCAGGTACCTGGCTGCCCTTCTCTTTTAGTAAAGTAGGAACATCTAAGAGCAGCTGCCCTTTCCGGCTTATCCCAGAATAACAGCAGGTGGACTGCTCTGTTAGGGCCTGGTACATCCCATACCTGCAGTCAGCTGGCAGAACGCCAGGCATTCACACACAAGCAGTGGGACTAAAGGATATTCTCAGGGAGGAACGCTTCTGAACATTTAAAATACTTTTATCGAAAGGAATTCCAGGATATGGACACATGGGATTTTGTTTCATTGCTGCTGGTGGTGGTTTTTGCTTTTTGGGTTTTTTGTTTATTTGTTCTTTTTTTCTGTCTTCATGGAGGAGCAAATGGGGTGCAGAAATGGAGGGAGAAAGGATGAGTAACTGCAGGCAGGGTTCTAGCAGACACCATGTGGAAAATGAATGGTGCAGCTGGTGAGCAGAGATGGGAGGGGAAGTGGAGGAAAGCGAAGGAAGGGGTGAGACTGTCCAAGAAGAAATGTCCTCATTACGTGACTTATGAAACAATAACCCTCGTAAAACACCTTGATCATAGCGATAAAGTCATATTTTAAAAAATTAAGAAAAAAGATGGATCCAGGTGCTAGAGGCTCATACCTGTAGTCCCAGCTACTCAAAAGCTTCAATCTGAGGATTACAGTTCGAAGCCAGCCTGTGACTCTTATCTCCAGTTAACCAGCACAGAGCCTGAAGTGGGGGTGTGGGGTGTGGCTCAGGTGGTAGAGTGCAGTCTTGAGCCATAAAGCTAACAGAGAGTGCCCAGGCCCTGGGCTCAAACTCCAGTACTGTCACACGAAGAAAGATGACCCTAGGAACATGTTTTCTTGATGTCAGGTGTGTCCGATGTAAAAGCATCTGTCCAGTTAGAGATGATAATCACTTCTGCTCCACTAAAAAAGCATTTGTGTTTTTACTACGCATCTGAGAACCAGGTAATGGGGTTTAAAAGGGGTCCATAGTGAACCTGGATATATGTTGGTGAGCAGAAGTCCTCTTTAGGAGGTTCTAGAAGATTCTACAAAGGCAGAGATAATACACTGCCAGAAGGGTCCCAGGAATCCTGTCCTGGCCAGAAAGTCCCCAGAGCACTTGAGCATGCTCCTTTTAGGGCAAGCATCTCTTCTTGCATCTGCTCAGTCCTGAATGACCATTTCTTTTCAGGCCAGAGGCACAGACAGAGGTCAGACAGTGCAAGGCCTCCCAGGGGCCTGGAATGGTGAGGGGGGGAAAAAGAACCATCCACTGGAGGGGGACACTCAGAAGAGTCACCCCGAGTCTGCAGGCCCTGGATCTGTGCACAGAAACCCGGGCTTTGGAGGCTGATGGTTCCCAGGCTGACGGTTATGGGACTTGGGCATTCACTTAGCTTCTCTGAATCTTGGCTCCCTGCTCTAGAGACATATAGCTTAACTCAAAGGAAATGTAAGCACTAAACAAAAGACAGTTTACAAAGCAGCTTGTGGGAAGGGAGGGGGAGGGGCTGGGCGCTGAGGATGGGGAGTACTATGAAAGGCGGGCCATGGGTCGAGGTGCATTGTACTTATAAACTGATTTGTTGAATGGCAATTCCCTTGCACAACTATCTGAAGATGATAAAAAAATATAACTAAAAAATTAAGGTAAAAATAGCAATTTAAAAAACAACAAAACTTCCTTAGGTAGGTATGAGAAGGGTCTCCCATAACACTTCTTGTGACTGGCAGGGATCTTGCTCAGTTTGAGACAATAGCAGACAGAAGAGATGTCAGGAGAGGAGTTAAGGACTCTTAAGAACAGCAGCATCTTGGGGCAGAGTCACCTGGAGGAGGTGGAATTTTAGGTGTCTTGAAGCATTAGAGATTTTTCTGGCATGTAAGCAGCAGGCAAAAATTGAGAGCAGGACTTTGGAGAGCAGCATGTGTGTGTGTGTGTGTGTGTGTGTGTGTGTGTGTGTGTGTGTGTGTGTGTGTGTGTGCGCGTGTGTGCGCGTGTGTGTGTGCGTGTGTTGGTATTGGGGATGATACTCAAGGCGTTGAGCTCTCATTCAGCTTTTCTGCTCATGGTTAGTGCTCTACTACTTGAGCCACACCTCCAAGTCTGGCAATTGGCTTATTAATTGGAGATAAGAATCTGGAGGTTTTGAACCTTGATCCTTCATCCTTTCCGCCTACGCAGGCTCTGGAGCAGCTAGGGTTACAGGTGTGCGCCACCGGCACCTGCTGTCCAGCAGATTCGATTACAAAGGCTGGCATCCCTACAGCAATTCCCAGCCCAAAGACAGCCTCTAGATGACCAAAATATAATAAAAATATGATTACAGTTTAATTTCCCCTGCTGTTGGTAGGGAAAACTAAGCCTTTATAAAATTCTGCCATAAACAACTTCTGAAGACAATTGAGCTGGTGAAGAAATGAACCTATACCTCCTAGGGATGGGAAAGGACTTTTATTTGTCTTCTTGATTGTTGTGTGTCCGCCGTATATCAACAAGCCTGCCTGCGCTGAGCACAGCCCCTCAGGCTTCCCAGCTCTCAATCCAGTGCTCGTACATCAACAAGCCTGCCTGCGCTGAACACAGCCCCTCAGGCTTCCCGACTCTCAATCCAGTGCTCTTGACATGCTAAGTCCTACGGGACCTGGTGTCATGACACCAAAAAGCCAGGGTAGTTCCTGGGGCGAGGAGAGCCAGCTTGAATATCTGATAATCAATCAGAATGGCGTGATTGATTAGCAGACCTTTCCAGACCTTTATTATTATTCCAGAACTTTATTAGCTGCGTAGCCTCAGGTGAAGTACTTAACCTGTCTGGTTAGTCTTAATTCATATCCAGTACTCTGTTAGTAGCCGGTGTATCACAAGCAGCGGTCTTACTGGTTAGAGTAGATATCAGAACGATATTTCATATTTTTTGGCATTAGCTTAGGTTATAAGCAAAGAACTCCATGTAATGTGATCTTGGGTGGACAGCCCTGGCAGAGTGCCTGGAAAAGAAGGGGTTCCGGAAATGCCTGCCCCTTTCTGGAAGGACGTGAGTCGGGGCGGGGTGGCTGCCACAGAGACAGGGCAGCCGTGGAGAGCCTGACCTGCGGACGTTTTCCTTGTTCCCAGCCTAGTGTTGAAACAGCCGGCTGAGGCCGTTGGGAGGAAAGCGCTTAGCTGTGAAGTGGTTGTCCTGATCTCCCGGCAGCAGTGTGCTAGGGTGCAGCCCTTCTTCCCATGGATCACAAAGCAGCCTGCGGACGCTGGGCCAGCTTCCCGGGCTCAGAAACTGTGGTCATAATTACATGCAAAAGAATGCTGGACTGAAAGCCCTCCCCTGTAACACCACATTTTCTTCCTCTAAGGGATGCCTTTTAGCACCTGTCCAGTATTAGCCCACAGACCCCTCCACCCCCACCCCCGAGGAGAGAGCAGGAGTGGCAGTATGTAGTCACGGCACTGCTGGTGCTGCAGGTCAGAAGAAGGACTGGGCGTGACACTCAAACAAGAGCATCTTGGGACTGGAAGGACCCTCAGAGACCGGCCTGCTCTCCCGCTTCGTCTCCTGGAAGGGTGCACTGCGATCCACAAGGGAGCGCGATCTGCTCAGGAGTACAGAGCTTCGGGCACTGTGGGAATGGAGCCAGAGCTAAGATGGACTTACTGCTAAAGACCTATTTTTCTAGATATTGCATCATCTTAAATGAAAGGACAGAAGGGGTTTTGTTTAACAACATTTTTTTAATTTTAATTTTTTTGTGAACATACTGTACAGAGGGGTTACAATTACATGGGCAAGATAATGAGTACATTTCTTATCAAGCATTGCAGCCTCCTCCTTTGTTTACCCTT